CTTCATTAAAAAGTTTATAAATAAAATAATTAAAATAATAAATTAAATATATTTTTTTCTTTTTTCGTGATTTCCTGCGAAACAAAGCAAAAAGGAGTATATGTCTATAGGACTTTTTTTCTTAGTTTTTTACTCCTCTACACGCTCCCGAAGTTTTGCCATTTAATTTGGAAACACCCTGTATATCGCCGTATATACAGTATTTTATTCCGGGACGTAATTTATGTTGTCCGACAAACAGCGGCCAAGTAACATTATCGCAAAACATAGGGTAACCGGATCTTAATATGGCTTAGTACCCAATATGTCAAGGTAAATGAACCAATTAGTCGACATGATCCAATTAATTATTGGACGAAACGATAAAATTTTTTAAATTAAGCTTTTAATGATCTATACAACTCTAAATAAACTTTTTGTTTATGAAAATTTAATAAGACGAATTTATTTGAAGTTATATATATCATTAAAAGATTAATATTTAAAATTGTTGTCATTTTGTCAAAAAATTGGATTATATTCACTAATTGACACATTCACCTTACATGGTTTTATTCGAAAACATTATCCGAGTACTCGTCTCTGAGTTTCATCATATCCTTGTTGTTCACCAAAATGTCAAACAAAGATAAAACGATATTTGAAAGCTCAAGGGTAGTATTTTCGAAAGCCTCTTGATGTAGGTAATTACACGGTAAAGTCAACAGATAGCATCAATAAATCGTGTAGGCTGTCTGTCTAACTCGATTACATCAATTTATTGCTTATGGTTTGTTCATTCTGTTAATATCAATAAAACGAAATGATAGAACATGGGCGTGACGAAATATAATTAATATTTCGTAGATAAATATAATTACTTTGTATAATTATTAAACTACCAAGAGATGATTATTAATTTCCGTAATTCTATATTATTGTAATAGTTCTGTATTTACACTTCATAACATTATATTTAATTCATGTTTTCTTCAATGTTTTGTTTATAACTAAAGAAAAGAAACTTTTTGTAACGTAGAACCAATATGGTCAAGCTAGGGATACCAAATGTATGCACATCGATTGTAACGTTTTTTGATACTTTTGTTATCCTAAACATATACATATATATATATACATGTATATATATATATGTGTGTGATGTATACATAAAATAATAATTAATATTAATTTTTTACGTATTGATTAAGTTATACTTTAACTAACTTACCGATAAAAAAATATAAATTAAATCTAAATATATATAAGATATGTCTATATTTTATATATATACCATATATATATATAGGAAAAATAATGAAAATAAACCGAAAAATAATTTGCATTACAAATAAAATTGTATAGAAATATTGGGATTATACATTATTTTATTAATATTCGTTTACATTTCATTATATTATTATATAATATTATATTATACATATATATATAATTATGAAGGAATGAAAGATAATAGTAACGCCGTTACTTTTTATAACAAAGATTTGATAATGATAAGTTGCAATTTATTTTATGGCTAACGATAACTAACTAAACTGCCATAAGGTTGCGCTAAGATTGGAAAAGCCATTTTGATTTGAATAATAACTTGTCATCATTATACGTTATTTACTGAAAAAAATAATTCATTTCTTGTAAATCAACGCGTTACTTTATTCGTTACAAGTAACGAATCAAAGTAACTTGTTACAAATAATGAGTGACTTTTCTAATCCATTACAAGTAACAATTAACTTTACCAACTCTGGTACAACGTTATAAAAAATTTGTAACATCATTACCAAATCGTTATCATAACAAAGTGACGATAAGAAGTAACGGTGTTACAAGCAACGTGTACTTCCATTCCCTGATGTATACATTATATACATATACGATATATATATTTAACCTATACAGTATAGATTTTCAGAGGATGTCCTACGGATATCTAGAAAACGTTCTCTGAATAAAAGTGTTCTCAAGATATTTCGGATAAAGTGGGATAATATACATATATAATTATGTATATACATATATTTGCTATATAATTAATTGTTTCGTACCGATTTCGGTGATTCGATTTCAACTTATTTCGATTCCTTCATGATTTTGAACACCATCGTCAATTATTACATGCAAAATACGTTCGTTGAATAATTATTCATTTATATTCAAATTAATGTTAAGAATAGAAGCTAATTCTCCCACGGTTTCAGGAAGCATCTTGCTATTGTTCGCCTTAAAATATGAAATCACCAAGTCATCTATTAATTCATTATACAAATCGCGAAATAATGAGCAAGCTTTGGCGTACAGTAGTTGTAGGCAAAATTTAAAGTAGGTTTAACCATTTCCAACCATTTACTTTTGATGCATAAACGTAGCCAAAAAAATCTATAAAATACGTGTGCTTTATACTTAATTACAAATCAATTTAAATTTAGATAAGTATATATATTTATACCGTATTTCACAGTTCTGTAGGTCAATCGGAAATGTATGTTGTAGTAATTTTTCAATTGATAGGACTAAGAAGATGCGTATAAATAGGCAAAAAATTCTTCTCTTTTAATATCATTACTGCAAATTAACTTGTGAATCACACAAACCAATTTTTCCATAATTGTTTCTGCCACGATAAACTGTTCCGCTAAAAGGTGACATTCAATTACATTCATTACAGGATAATAATGAAATACAAATGATAAATCTAGTCCATCAAACCACATTCCCCAATTTATAGATCTTAATATCTAATAAAAACATAAAGATTATTATTCGTTGATCAATGAATTAAAACTGCGGAAATTCTAATTTATTTCCATAAAAAATACCTCTTCTTTCGTCCAAAAGTAACGATACAGGTGTTTTATCCAATTTTCAGTGTTTACACTTCTAAATTTAAATTCTTCTATATAAGATCTAAGATATGACTCAAAAACTGTTGGTCCACTTAAAGAATGTTGTAAATAATTTAAAAGCAAACATCTTCTTTCATAAGGCACATATTTTATGATGTCCTTGGGCAAATTATCTGTCGAATTGGGTATCAATTTTTGTAGAAAATCAGTGTTGCTATATAATTTTATCTGTAACAATAGTACAGTTTTAGTAAATAATGTAATAGAAATGCAAGCAAATCAGGGACAATATAAAGATATGTATATGCGCATATGTACGCATGTATGAGAATAACCAATAAACTTATAAAGTCTGTAAATCTATCATTTTATTAAAGTGTAAACGTGTGAAGTTAATTATTATAAATAAATAAATCAATCTATAAATAAATCAATCTATTCAAATATATTAAATAAATCAATCTATTAATAAATTAATCTATTCAAATATATATTTATTTTGACATTCTTTGTTTAAAAAAAATTATTAATTTACCATTTCTTTCAGATCGTTAAAGCCTTTCATTTCTAGAAACGTTTTCATTTCATTGTCAAACATAAGACCCATAATTTTCCGAAAAATGAATGTACTAAAACTTTTAGTTAACCACAAATGTTCGAAATGTTTACATGTAACTATATTTCCTGTCCAGTTCTGAGCAATGTTTCGAGCAATTGCACTCCTTATCAAAGAACGATCTCCATCAAGTACAGTCGATGACACGAATGCTACGCCAGGATATTCTATTTCGAATTCCGGAATATTTGGAGGAAGCACACATATGTTATATATACCTATAATTATGTTATTCTGAACAATAATTTTTGATAATGAAATCGATAATGAAATTTACAATGAGAAAACTCATTATACATATAAATTGATGTAAATAATTTAGTTGATATTTTACCGTCGAAATGTTTGCTATGCCGACCACACAATACTTCAGCAATTTGTAGTATGCATTCAACTGATTCAACTTCTATAAATGGGCCCTCATATATATTATTAATGATCTTTTCAACTCACAGCATAGTTCTTGGATTAAGTACTAATGAATTTAGTGAACCTACTACAATAATCATTGCATAGGAAGGGATTGGTATCGTTTGAGAGAATTCGTGTAAAGTGTATTGGTAAGATAATCCACTGCACTTTTCTGTTTTTTTCCAGATATTAGAACATTGAAAAATAATGGTGTAGTAATCTAAAAAATGCATATCAATAAAAATTAATTAAATAAGATAATCTTTTCATAATTTATATAGTTAAAACAGTTGTATATAAAAAGATATAAACGAATAATTATAAATTTATAATATGCTCATATTTTCTTCAATAACAAGTTATATAATGTCCACATTAATGATTTATTATTTTTGTTAATAATATATCAATAATAATCAATCGCTTCTGTGTTTAGATATATAAGTATATACAAAATGCAAATAATATTTGTTGCATTGATAGGTTCAATATTGCTGTACCGTTAAGAACATTACGTTGAAAATCCACAAATAATTCCAAATGAGTGTGAATTACAGCAGCAAACTCTTATAATTAAAAAGTTATAGAAATTAAAAAATATTCAAGTTTTTAGCAAGGATATACGAATAATAAACATAAGTACATGACAATAATATATAATAATTGAAAACAAAATCTCAGATACGGAGATATTTTAATATAATATTTTTATACTAGAAATGTTTTGACAATGTTATTCAACACATACTTTGTGCATTTAAAGGAGATACGCAGAATACTATAAGTCACTAAAAGTCGTGAAACATGTAACATGATTAAAATTGTAGATTATTAAAAACTTACACTATTAAAAAGATACGCGCAACAGTTACGACTTTTAGATATGCTAATGAATTCACAATCAAAAGATTTCCCGCAAATTATTTTTTAACAAAACATAAAAAATATAAATTTGAAATATTTATTACTATTCTTATGTGATTAATTAAATAATGAAAATACCTGGTCTTGCATAAGAATGCGGATCTCCAGGAGATAAAGATCCTGAAAATTATTGTGTTACTCTTTCTACGAGTAAGAATTAAAAATCGATCTTTACTTATACCATCAAATTTGATCCACGAACAATAACACTGCTCCTTCACCTTCCTCTCACTATACTCTATCTCCTGCCCGTCTTTCCGTGTGTAATAACATATTAGTTTGTTTATATTATAATATCGAATATTCAAAGGGATGACTTCCATATACTGTATAAACGATTGATTATGAATAATCAAATCCCTACAACCCATACAGCACAGAATTTCGCTAGCAATATCACTACAATAACACTGCAATGTTCTTGCAACATGCAATATTGCTGCAATGCTGCAGTATTGTTGTTGCAACTTTTGTGCTGTAAGGGAATAAAGTTTTTATTCATTTTAATTATAACACGCGCGCGGTTATTTTTTTATATGACAATTACATTATAATATAAACAATATTTAATAAAATAAGACGACAATTAAATTAAAGATACAATCAACCTAGACAATAAAAAGTGTCTAAAATCGGGTCATAAGACGTTTTTTACGTCTAAAAGATGATTTAAAAACGTCTTATGTCACAATTTTAGACTTTGTGTTGTTTGGGAAGTGTATACTTACTTCTGTTTCTCTTTTTTAAATATACTTTTTTAAATATACAATTAAATACGATGTAAACATAAATATATATTTTTACAATTAAGTACGATGTATGTAAATAATTGCAATTAAAAACATAATTTTAGATACGTACGATATTATTTTTATGCTGGTAACATTTTGAGTATTATGCTGTTTTAACGTATAATTTGAGCATTTAAGAAGACACGCAGGAAGCTGAAAGTCACAGTAAAAGTAGTGGAACAGTGAAACAAATTTAAAAAATTGTAGATAATTTTTAAAGATCTGAAGATACATGCAACAGTTGAATTTTTCAGACAATAAAATACAAAGTAGAAGAGCAGCGCCTACAAAGCACTAAAAAACGCTTATATGTACTTTTTTAAACGCTTTTTTAACGCTTTATAGGTGCCGTGTGCTGTAACTTGGGTGATAATTGGAAGATTCCTAGTGTTCTATTTATTTCAATAAAAGATAAAGAAAATAAATTTTAAATTTTGAATAGAATTTTTATTAATTTTATTAATAGTAATACAAAATTTTATTAATAGTAATTAAATAATTAAAATACCCGGTCTTGCATAAGAATACAGATCTCCAAGTGACAGAGCCATTTCAAAAGTTTTCTGTTAGCATTTCCCCCCCAATTAATTATTGAAAATAGATTTTTATACCACTTAATTGGACATAACACTGCTCTTTTTCCTTTTTTATTATTACTCCATCTTTTTACGTTTTGATGTGTTTAACGCAGTTTGTTTATTAAAAAAAAATGTATAACGCAAGAAAGGTCAAATATTTTTAAACATAATTTAATAGTGATAACAGAGAAAACAATAAGAGCTTGACTAGAGTTTGATCATCCGAATGGACATTTTGCTTCACAGTTAGGTAATATTGCGTAGTTATGGTTGATCAGGTAAATGAGATAAATACAATATATAAATTATTATGTCTTCAGATAGTATTAGATATTAGATATAGAAATCTTTATCTCAATACTTAAATCGTAAAATATAACATTTTTACATCATAATTCAACATGTTCGGTTATATAACGTTATTTGAGTAAAAAATGTACGTTTTGTTCGAGTACAATTGCAATAAATAACATTGTTACACAATTTATTCTTGAATACATATTCGAATAATTTCATAATTATCATTTTTTATTCTTTGGTTAATTTTACAATGGAAGAATGCTAATTAGCAATATGTATTTTTACAGAATGTGATCAATATAATTGAAAGAATTGAAAATATTAAATAAGCTTTATCATTTCATTATCGGCCACTCGTTTACTATCAACATGTTTTTAAATTAATAATTTCTTATAAACTTTTCATCATTTGTGTATTGATACTTTTTTTTAAGATTAACACAACCAAAGACACAAAGTATTAACAATCTAAGTGCACGGATTATTTTGTATTTAATTTTTGAAGGTGACAATCTTACTGTTTTATTAATTTCATAGATTTCGAGAAACCAAATTTGAGATCTGTTACCGCTAAGTCTGGTAGCAATATCCTGTATCAAGTAGAATATATTCTATACACGAAACTGTTTTTACACAGTTTTTGAAGGCACCTAGTTACCACAAAACTATATTTATTTCCGAAAAGGAAAAATTGCTTCGTTTTACGGCCTGCAGCCTTTAAGAGAATTCTAATATTATTTTTTTAAACTAAATTTAATCTTATGTTTTTCTTAAAATTTTTAAATATTTTCGAAAAAAAAAAACTTTTTAGAAAAACTTTCGAAAATTGTGCATTCTATAGATTAATATCCTATAGTCCTATATTTATGAAGTAGTCTGTCATTTATAGTACAATCGGCACAATTTATATATTTTTACAAAGTTCTACATAGTTATAATTATTAGTTTAAACTTTTTATGTGTAGAGAATTATTAGCTTTCCGATTGTCACCATCAATAACGGAGTACTTTGTGGTATAATTAACTAATTATTAAATTATTACAAAAAATTGAAAAGTATCATACAACTGGGAAAATTAATATTCTACACATTGAGCTATTTCATAAGGCAAGATATCCCTCTAGAGACACATGTATATATGTATATATAATTATGTTTAGTCATACAATAGATATTAAATATGTAAGATATTTTAAGTCTATAACAACAGGCTGATAGATTATATATCCTTTATCATATTTCATTACGTCTATTGTATTAATTCATAAAGAAAATATTTTAAATATAAGTATCGGATCTTTCCTTTTTTGTACAATAAATTAGTAATAAATAACAATATCAATTGTTACGAAGAGACATTTTAAGATTAGGCATTGTGTAATGCAGTAAAAATCTCAGAATCGATAATACGATTCTATAATACAATTAATATTGGCAAATATTTAGTCACACCATTAATTGCCGTCGTATTAAATAGTCGTTCATGGCGGCGCCGAATGTGGGGGTTGGGGTCAGCAATTTGAGACAGCACTGTGTTTTTCATCCGCATAATAAGATACTGTTACAACGTCGCCACCCACGTTAATGAGACATTGACCCTGGAAATATATTTTTTTCTAAAATATGCAACAAGTATGGGAATGTGCTTGCACGTTAAATAATATATTTTTACTAACTTGATTTTTGTGAGGGCTGTGAAGAAGCACACACTGCGTCATAAAGAATGCTACCATTGCATTACCGCCTAATGCCGTAATGTGCGCGCGAACAATCGCCAAAACTTCCATTACGAAACTGTGGGTAAAACCACTCAATCCACCATTCTATAACATCATCAAGATTGTTACCGTTATATTTTATAACACTTCGTCGAGAATAATTACTATGGATTCTACAAAATTTACCTCCCGTATCGATGTACTTTCGCGAATGAAAAAGAAATTTAGATTGCCTTGATATCTCTCTATTCTTCCACCTGGTAGATAAGATAAAGGCGTTATGTCCACGCCATATCTTCCTTTCAAAGGCACCTATAATGAATTAAGATATGAAAAAAAAGTCATATTATTCATGCTTAGCATTTACCATAAATTTAAAGGCAGAAGTTGAGAGGAAATGATAACCCATGATAACAAGTACAAATATTAAGTTAATATGCATATATAAAATAACATATATATATTTATTTAAAAGAAAAATTCTTACATGTTTACGTCTATGACTGGTGAATGATTTTATACGCAAAGGTGAGCGTGGTCTGGGCTTTTGTATTACAGGGGTACCACTTAATGTAGGATTTCCCGCACAAGTACGTGTTGCATTGTCGGATATAACATTGTTCTCTAGATGATCCTCGTCTAAGCTGAATATCATATCACTGTCCTCTGGTATAAGAAATAAAAAAAATAAAAGAATTAATCTTTCCCTTGAAATATACATTAACGACAGCATAATCATAAATTATAATATAAAATCCGATAATTTCTGATAAAAATGAAAAAGTAATTTGTAAACAGAGAACTGTTTCAAAAAGTACCTGATTTTCTCACTTGATCCTTACTCAAAGAACGACACACAATTTTTCTTTTATATTTATTCGTATTCAAAGGTTCCCCTAAGCCAAGTGCCATACCAACAACAGTAAGTTGTATCTCGTCTTGTTCGGGTACTGCTACTTTAAACTGCATATCGCACAGCGCACATGGAACCATCCGTCTTAATTTAAAATATAAGGACTAAAATAAAATGAAAAACATTTTACTAAAGTGAAAATACTTCCTTTCCGCGAAACATATTTTCAATTATAAGTAAACACACGCGAACAAATGTACTCCAAAGTGAAGACGTTTTCTACGAAACATTTTAGAGATGAAAAATCGTACCTGAAGTAATCTAGCAAAATATTTCGATGGCATCGACGCGAATTGTCCCATAGGAATTTTTGCCCTTGAGATTTGCGTGAACATTTGTAAATTCCTGACAATTTCTAAATCTTCGAGGCCAGGTATGGTCTGTGTGTTAACGACGTGGAAATCATCGGGTGGTCTGTTGTCCATTAACGACGATATTCGATCCATATCCTCGATGTCATCCACTTCCAAGACACACGCATCGCGAGTACCCAATCCAAGATCGAGTTCCGGCAAATCCTCATCTGATTCGTCTGTATCAGAAGTACTCGGAATGCGTCCATTTTCGACTTCCTACAATCGCGTCACGATTATAATTAACGATCAAACTCTAGGATGATATTCTCTGAAATGAAAACGGTGCTAAGTCCCACATACGTTGACTCCGATAGGTTTCAGACGATAAAACTCTCTATTCTTCTTCACCGTTTCTACGATAGACTTTTGCATTTCCCCCAACTGCTCCTCGTTGTGCCACGAATTACCAGACGCTATTTGCGGGATGGTGGGTGGCGGTAAAGCCGTCAAATAAATTGCGGTGCCTACCGCCATTCCGATTATAAATCGTTCGCCCACGGAAACCTGCAATCTGAGACCGAAGACCGCGTTCATGCCCTTGATCTTGAGCTTATTTAACAATAAACTATGTAGCTCGTATTCCAAGAATGGCAGACAATCAGATATCTCCTTTGCGTTCAATTCGCCCCGCAGGTCCTTCTTGCTTTTACACACAGTCGCTTGAATGAAGCAGCCCCTTCCAGTCATCGGTATATTTGCGGGCACTTCTATGGTGGTGAACATCACATCCGGGACTTTGGCACGTTTGCATATGGCACATTTTGATACGTTGACTCTAAATGGCACGCTACCCTCGCTATAAGGGAGATGGCACAGGTTGCATCGCAATTGAGACTGGCCACAGGAACCCTCGTGATCGTTGCTCTCGGAAGAATGTTTGCATATCTTCCCATTTTGCCGTTCCGAATGAGTCACGACGGATGCGTCGCCATCGACTCTCTCCGTCTTCATCGCTACGGACTTTTGCTGGCTCTTTTCCGAATCCACGGCAGCCGCAGGTACACTTTGTTGAACTTTATTCAGAACGACGCCGTCCGAATCTTGACCAGAATTATGAAAATTTATGACTGCCGCGGTACCAGAAGCACTAAGCACGCATACGTCGTCACTGTAAAAAAAATTGCACGCACATTGTTGATACAAGGGGATACCAGAAAGAATTAAAACCTTACATGAAACTATTGTTCTTATTTAAAAAAGTTCGTGTCTTGTGATAATAAGACATGTAATAAATATAAAGTTCTTACCATATACTGGTTTCTTCTTTGTAGCCTATAACAACGTTGCAAGCTAACGCTCTCGCATGCGACCTAACTTCCATTCTAATTTCGGTCCACCACGAATCACGGCCCTCCGGCTCCTCCAGATTACTTATCCTCTCGAGTAATTTTACCGACTTCGAGCTCACTAGACCACCTGTTCCATCATGCATATAATTCAGTTCATTATTATTTAATTTTTACACAAACTTTTATATTTTTAAGTGAATCAATTAGATTTATTTATCATTGTAAAAGACCGAATATATATGGTGTCTCATGTTGAAGTAATCTTGAAGACGCGTATTTAATAAACTTAATTACCTATATGTAATATGAAGCCAGGTGGATAATGTTGCATAGTGATAAATGGGTACTCTAACATTTCCAACGTGTCTTGATTCATAGGTCTGACGACCGCAGTCG